GGCGGCCGTCAACCCCCGGGCGGTGCCTGCGGCGGCAGGTTGCAGGAGGCTGCGCTTCCCTCGGCAGGCTGGGGACGGCCGTCCTGCCGCGCCGCAGCAGAGCTCTGCTCTTGCGGGCGAGAGCCGGGGGCTGCCGGGGCTCTGCGGGGCGGGCACGGTGCCGGCCGGGAGCTGTCGGGACTCGGCAGGCGTCAGCACGGTGGAGGGGAGAATATTTTGGACCAAACCTCTCAAACTACTTTTTTTTTTTTTTTTTTTAAAAAAGAAAAGAAAATTTAGATTTTTGCGAGGTAAACATCTGCAATCTGTGCAGCCCGCGTTTCCTTCCTGGAGGGCAAGATGCAGCTCCAGATAAATACCGCTCCTTTCCTTTGACTGGCTGGTTTGTATCTCCCCTTCCCAACGCACATTGCACAGAGACATCCACGCTTTCCCGAGTGCCCGTGCCGCTGATGTGCCATTTTGGAGCTGCGTTTGCCGCTCTCCACCGTCGCTTTTTAGGTGGTCTCCTTGCTTGAAGCCTGGCGTGTAGTCTGTCCGTGCCAAGTGTGTGCAGTACTGGTGGTGCAAGGTAAATTATTTCCATACTCACGGGACATTTATCGTTGGTGTGGCCAACCTACCGTCTACAGAAAACAAAGGACGAAAACAAAGGTGGGCTCCACCGCCCCTCTGGTCCTGCCCCGGGGAGGATGCTCGTGCCACCGGGGACGTGTGGCGAGTGGTTGGCGCAGCGAGTGTGCAAATCCCTCACCATTTTGGGTCATTTTTAAGGGGGAGGGTGGGAGAAGGAGCCCGGCGGGACAGCAGAGCTGGGCTGACCGGGCGGCGTGACGAGAGCGGGAACGATTATATTTTGTGATAGCAAATGGTGAAAGAAACCCCCTCCTGTCGGCGGGGAGACGCCGTGGCGCAGGAGTGACGCTGGGGGATGGGTGTCGTGGCTTTTTGTAATAATTTTAAAGACTCGGAGTGACTGAATTGCTGTATGTGTCACTTTTTATTTTTGAAAGAATTAATGTATAAATAGAGTATCTTAAAATATTATGAGGGAAAGATCTATATTTGATATTTTTAGAAGACCTGTAACGAGAGAAGCGAAGGACATTTGAAACCGGTTACAGACAAGCGCTTGCCAACACCCTCGCGTCCACAGCCGCCCTCCGGGCCTTGGCGCTGCCTCTTCGTTCGCTTCGTGGTGTCACTTAGAAATGAGGGAAAGTGAAATTCCAGATCTCTTTGCGTTTCTTCCACAGCAATTAAACTTCCTGGACTTCTGTCTCGGGGGGAAAAAAAAGAGGAAGAAGTGGGTCTTTTTTTTTCCAGTTTCTAGGGCGGGTGGGGTACACGGCATCTCCTCAGGGTGAGAACCTTTCCACAAGTGACACACAGACCCCGCTGGGGACGCACTGGGCACTTCACCTGCTGGGGCTGCTTGGGCAGGGGTGAAGCCTCCAAACTGTCCTGTTTTCTACTTTATGGTGTTGGATGAATCATAGAATGGTTTGGGTTGGAAGGGACCTTGAAGACCATCCAGTGCCACCCCCTGCCCTGGGCAGGGACACCTCCCCCCAGCCCAGGTTGCTCCAAGCCCCGTCCAACCTGGCCTTGAACACCTCCAGGGATGGGGCAGCCACAGCTTCTCGGGGCAACCTGCCCCAGGGGCTCACCACCCTCAGCATAAAAAAAAATATATTAGTATTTCATCTTTCAGCAGTATCAGCCTGTGTTCAGGACTGTCCCTTCCTGGGCTGCCCCTCCACCACGGTCCCTCCTGCCTCCGTGGGACGCTGCTGGAGCTCAGACACGGGTTCCCAGCACGGCCTTCTGTCTCAGACGTGACTCAGCTGCGGAAGAGAAAGCGTACTATGGACAAATGAGAATTTCAAACGCATTAGAAACACCTTAAAAGGCGTATTCAAGGGATATAGTATTTAGGGGCTTTTTAGTACCACTGCACGAGCACCAGTGCAGACTGCTCCGCCACCAGTCCTCCTTATCCCCACGGAACTTCCCAGTGCTGTGTCCCCTCATGGCTCTTCAGATGCTCAAGTTATTCTGAGACAGAAGTAAATTCCTCTTCCTAGGCGCTGCGGAGCTTTTGGATATACTACCTAGAGAGTAATTGGGAACAAAATCCCACGCAAGCGTATTTACAAGATATCTTCTGGAGGAAAGGGAAATAAAGCCTAAGCAGAAGTTATTGCTCTTACAGGAGAGCTAGCGGCTTATTTTTTTTTTTAATTAAAACTTTCCAAAAAGAAAAATTTGGCTGAAAGGCTTACTTAATATTCCCGTTTTGGGCCAGCTTGAATACTGGAGTAAACATCGGTTTATTCCAAGAGAAATTAAAGATAGGAAGTATTTTTTTAAACCACCTTGGCATGGCGTTTGGTAGTTAATATTAAAGTCATCACTCAAAATTACAAGCAAGCGGCGGTAGTCAGACACGCTGATAGGTAAAGTCTCTCCTGTATTCCCCGTCCCATCATTTTAGGCATTAAGCCACAGACACCAGACACAGCGCAATAACATCGGTTGAGGTCAGACGAGTGGCAGGGTGCAGTCATCCTGTGTCTTAAGTCAATGGCACCAGTCCCATGGGTTGGCCGTGGCCAGGCCACCATGCACCAACATTGATCCCTTCTTCCCAGTGGCCACCGACATGTGTGGCATTTCTGAGGTCCCCACGGGCCCGTGTTTGAGCTTCTGGCCCTTTACCGATTTCGCAGGGTTTTGCAGCAGGAGGTGAAGTGCCTCAGATGGTTTGGGAGCAGCCAGGCTGCTGCCAGCGCTCCTGTCACGCCTTCTGGTGTCCTGCTGGGGGCTTGGGGTGGGCTGGGCTGGCGTTGGGGTTGGGTTGGGGTTGGGGTTGGCGTTGGGGGGATTGGGGTGCGGTGTTGGGGTTGGGGCTGGGGTTGGGGTTGGGTTGGGATTGACGTTGGGGTTGGGGTTGGGTTGGCTTGGAAGCTTTTTTTCGACCTGGCTATTACTCAGTAAGAGCAACAATTTCAGACTCTGGCCATGAATTTTTCGGATTCCCATCTGGCTCTGCAGTCAGACAAAACGTCCTCCTGGTAATTGTCTTGTCTCGAGAAGACTTCTGCCGAGTTCGGTGGCCTGAATAGCAGCCCAGACCATTACAGCTAATTGCAGACGTGCTCCGTAGCCGCTCGCAGTGCTCGGTTATTGCGGTAACACGGGGGTACGTCGATGCTGTCCTCGGCATCAATGCTTTGAGCTGCAGACAGGCTCCTGCTGGTCCCTGGTGGTGTTTAATGCAGACTTAGTCTGAATGGCCGTTGTATACTGGACAGAATCAGGTGCTGCAAACGTGTATCAAACCATCACAGCTCCTCTGGGTGCCGGAGGGATCGGACCTTCCCGCACACTCGGATCTCCTCCGGCTGTAGGTGCGCACACACACATGCGCGGGTGTGTACGCTGTGGCACATCGGGGCATGGCAAGGCAGACACCGCTTCGGGGAGTGGGCTGCCCTCTAATCCTCACGCAGGAGTCTTCCTACATTGATTTCAGGCTCTGCTGCCACTTTATTTTGTAAACTGCAGTTGGAGCACTGGAATTTTCCCTGGAAGAAGGATATCGGTTATTTTGGTTTCATTCCTGCCTCTCTTCTCTTTTTTTTTTTTTTCCCCCCCGTGTCTCTTTTCTTGTTTTCTTTTTTTTCCTTCAGAGAAAGCATTTGGGTCTTAGTCAACAACACAACATACAATAACCTTCTTGGGGAGGATGCTCGTTAGAGCCTCGTAGCGCTGTCACGTCTGGGTCCCGCAACAGCCAGCTGATGGCTCTGTTTAAATACCAAAGAGGATTTATTTTGATTTACCTGAGAGATTTCACAGCACAAATCCAAACAGCTTCGAGGTATATTTGTTGAAGTCCCCCAGGGTGCCTCTAAGAGCCTTTATTTCTGGGCACGGTCTGCCCCGAGGAGCGCCGGGGCTGTGGGCGATGCTGGGGCAGGAGGAGCCGCATCCCCTTCCTCGCTGTCTTGCAGATAGGACTTTGCGGGAGGACTTCAGTTGGTGTTGGGGCTCCCCTCCGCTGGCAGCAACCCTTGCAGGGGCGTGGCGGGAGCGGGGAGTTTCCTGGGCACTGCTGTCCGGGGTGAGGTGGGATTCGGGGATCGGGCTCCTCGCAGCCAGCCGAAACCCCCGCTGGATGTTGCCCCGCTCCCTTCACACCTGCGGCCGTCCTGTGCCGGGCAGCCACAACCAGTGGACAAACGTCAGGAGATCAGCAGAGCAATGGAGGTGCAGTGGGTACGGGCCTGTGGAAGGGTTTTTTTCCCAGATACGCTTCACCCAGTTGCTGTTTTACAGAGATTTTGATGCGTAGAGGCACAGCCTCGCTTTGCACATGTGAAGCCCTTTAAGCTGTACGCACGAGACGATGGCCACCATGCAAAAGTTGAGAAGCGGTATCGTCCTTTGCTGTGGGAAAATGCAGAGAGTCTTCTGCTTTTCCCCCGTGTC